GCTGAGGGGCCTCATTTCCTTCTTTCTCCTTACTCCCTTTTCCTCAGATCTTATGCAGCAGATTGTGCAAGCATTTCCCTTATTTTTCTGATAACTTTGAGTATCTGGGTTCTTCGAAAATAAATACTAGAATTTTGTGTGTGTGTGTGTTATTAGCACAGCAGGATGCTTAGACCTAATTTGAGTTACGTGTTGCTAAAGTAAAGAACTGCCCTTTGACATGCACCTCCCCACCCACAGTTTTGCTCCCCCCCTCCATAGCTTGTTGCTGGATTTGGCCAGGCTAAGTGGCATAAAAAATAAATTGAAGGGGACCAACGAGGTCATTGTTCAGGAACAAAAGCTTGGACCTGGGTTGGACAGTGAATCAGGGTTAAGTGTTTGTATCATTTTATCCTGGTAAGCTTTTCTCATAAAATTATAGGCTAAGGTGGCATAGATAATGAGGTCTCTTGATCTCAGAGTGGGCATCTCAAAGATCATCTGCTTCATGAAATTTCCATCATTTGAGTCAGAAATGTCACATATATCTAACCAGAAACATGGAATATTGTCCTTTAGATTTGGGAAGACATACTTGATTCAAACAGCTTTTTCATAGTTTTTGTGTCTGTAAATAGCCCAAATTTAAGGATGCTCAGTTCTGAGGTTCCCCCTGTGTAGCTCCCATCTGAAATATACTGAAATCTGCTTATAATAAACACAGGTGTAATGAAAATCTCTTCATAATAAAGTAAAAATAAAGCCTGGGTCTGTTCAGTGCTATGCAGTGGGTTTAATGGTGTTGCTTTGCAGAGGGCTTTCTCTCTGGAATGTAATAAAGGTCCAGGAAGTTCCACTAAACTCTAGAGCTGATAAACACCTCATCCACTCCCCCAGTCATAAGATGAAAGTGAAACCACTGGCAAAGTTCCTAGCAGCTTTGTGGTAAAGTAAATAAAGCATTTACTGCTACTCTTTTTTGATTCAAAAGTGAAAAAAGGCGAGCTTGCTAGCGTTTCTGTGACCAGTAGAATGAAAAGGAGCTGTTCCCTGTCCTTCTGAATAGAGGAAGTCCTGCTGATAGTAAAGCCAACTATGAAAGAAAAAACCCTTGGAGCGGAGGGGAAGACCCTAACCTTTCTCCCCACTCCCAAGAAAAACCTAACAGAGCTGAAGCGACAGGCCACCATTTATTATTAATTATGTATGAGCTGTATTTATGAATTGTAATTGGATACAGGGAGTGTAGTCTTCCCTAATGCTTTTTATGGTAGGTAACTGCTTTCATTAGAAATTCCAGATAAATGGCTTTGGTTAGAAGAAGAGATGCTCTAAGAAAGCCCAGGGATTGAGACAGGATGATGATCGGCGTGGGAGTGGGAGCTCTTGCTGCAGAGAAAACCTCAGTCCTGGCCTTGTGCTGGAGTTCCCTTAAATGTTTTTTGAGTAACAACACAACGTTCCAGGAGAGCCAGTTGCCAGCACTGGATCAGTTGCATCAAAGGAACTCCGGATGGTTCCTCAAGAAGGCTTTCCCAATGGTGAGGAGAGAGATGGCAGGATAGTAGGAGAGGGTGCTTGAAGCTTGTAGTTGCTATTGGCAGGACAAGCATATGTCCTGTTCCTCACTCCTTCCCTCCATGTGCAGTTGCAACAGCCTTGTTCTGGGATATATTGGGTTTGCTGCAAATGTGTATAGGATTATTTGTTTCTGATGTACCAGTGTGCCAAGTCATTACCAGCATCTGAACCATGCTCCTGGACAACACAAACTGGCGTGCTGTCATGTTACTGTTGAAGTAGCTTCTCTGAGGAACTTATGCCTGTATGGTATACTAAGTAAGGAAATTCCAAATTGGCTGAAAATGTTAGGCGAATAGGGCGCTCTGCAGATACTTGCAAATATCTGGCGATACCATTAGCATATAGCTTGGATTATGCCTAGCTTTACTGAAGTAGTAAAATAGTTTGTCTTTAAAAAAAAAAGGAAAAAAAAGGAAAAGAAAAAACATTCTAGGAAGTACTAGTGCTTGGATTATATGTTGTTTTGGTGTGTTATTATTGCCTTTGCTACACTACCTCTCCTACTTTAAGAAACTTATTTAACTGTAGTCAATGGTGATGTGGTAGGTGTGAGATCAAATACACTAACTGGCTCACAAGCAATAAGCATGGTGTGATTTTTTTTTAAAATAATCAGAGAGCAACTGTTTATTTAAAATGCTTAACCCATGTAACATATATAACATATAGTTACACATGACACAACTTGAGTTGTAGAGTTTTATGCCTCTAGTGGTTTACTTCTTTTTTAATAAGTGAAGCTAATGTACTAATGGCTGTTCAATTGCTTCCACCAGTTTTGAAGTGTTACTAATTAAAGACACATTTGAAACACAGCAAATCAAAGTCTAACTAAAGTAAAACCTGGACTATTCACGTATGGCATGCAGAAAGGGTGTATAAATAAGACAGCAGATTTGCTGAATGCCCCCAGTGTTAATGGTGTGGGCACACCCAGCCTGTCAATATTTGGTTTAGGAATATTTGCTTCTAGTAGCAAGTGCAAGTTGAAGTCCCTTCTTCTTGTTAAAGAAGTGGTGAGAGAATAATGTAGATCCTTGTCCTGCCCTTGCTTAAGGAAAGCAGGAGGGCAGATCTCTCTTCCTCCTCTAGGAGGTATTGAGACATCTTCCTTCAGCAAAGGTGCAGCACAACTGTAGGGCAGTGAGAGAGAGAGAAAACAAATGTTAACTCTTCTTTGTACCTGCAGGATCATGGGAGAGAAAGCTCTTTTGAGGCCATCAGCCCTTTCAGGCAGTAGAAAAGACAGCGTTGAACACAGAATGTTCCTCTTTTCCACCCTCCTGGTAGCTGTAGGATCTAAGCTCACCAGGATTACAGTAGCCAAATCTAAGTGTACTTGTGTGGGATAGTGCTGGTCCAGAATTGTGGGTGTTGTCCCTTCCTTCATTTCTGTTCCTCAATGCTTTGTTATTGTGGTGTTAGACCTTAAGCTCACTTTAGACACCTTTCTTTTCATAATTGATTTAATATAATAACAATTAGCAAATAGTTAGTGTATACAGTGTCCACAGTACTTTTATTTGTGCATTGTGGTTGAATAAACATGGTGTGTTCTCTTTGTCATGGGTAAGTCTCCTCCATTTAGTGAGGGTCTGTTTTTACTGTATGTATTTCTTTCCTTGAAGATGTCTCTGCTGATGGCTGCATCAGGGCTTCTAAAAGCAGGGGCAAATATGACTTACCAATGGCAGTAGACTCACACCAACTTCCCATTAAGGAGAGGGCAGGAGCAAGGGGAGAGGAAGCTCCTGTACTGGAGATGAGAAACACAGCTGGAAAGCACAGGCAGAATCAAAGTCCTCACGCATAAGGATGGTGATATCACTGCCAGACCTTTTTCTCTCCCTGTCCTGTTTTTTTCATTCTTTGGGATTTTACTTTGGCCTTTGCAGTCTAGCCTTCCTGTTCTATTTTATACTAAGATATTTGGTAACAGAGGTGTAAACCTTGTTGGGAAACAAGCACAACAACCAAAACCTTGATAATGTGCACTAGAGTAGGTTCTTCTGTGTTCAGCAGCTCACTGAAATCATATCACACTGTTTGCTGTTGGTCTGATTTAAGTTTTTATATCCATGCTCATACAGAGGAGAGTAACCTCGGGCATCAGGGAGGACAGTATTACTATGATGACTAATGAAAAACCCTTTTGTTTATAATTGGGCATTGATTCTTCCCTTGTCCTCCTGCATGAATTCATACACCATACTGGCCTCCATTTGCAAACTCATATTGGGGAAAACATTTTTTTCTAATAGCTGCTTTTTGAAGTTATGCCCTCCTTTTCGTTTTTTTCTGAAGATGCTTCAGGAGCAGAATGTATTTAAATCCTTGCATTTCCAGAATTAACAAAAGCAGCACTCAGAGCAGGGCCGTGTTGCCGCAGAGGGGCAGGAAGGGTGGAACGAGGCTCTGTGCTATAAACCTCGTGACTGTGGGCGTGGGATGTGCAAAGACTGATCACTTGCAAAGGAGATGAGAACTGTGGCTGTTCTCAGAAAAGCAGAGCAGGCTTTCAGGCTGAACCACTGCAGCTGATCCCTTTAACTCTTGATTTGGATCATGTATCTAACCCTGCTCACCTTTTTCCTTCAAGAAATATAAGCATAACCCATCCCTATCCCCCAAATGAGCCTACCTGCTGTACAAAGAATGTAGGTAAATAATAGCAATTACCCACCTCGGTGCCTTACTCTGACTTTGCCTGTGGCTTTTCCTTGGATCAGATTGAGTTGGATGACTTAATGGCAGCGGACAACAAAAGACTAAACAGTTCCTTTGTGGATTAACTCGTTTAGATGACTGACAAAATGTATGTATCATTGAGTTTGTAGATTAAGAAAGAAAAAATCAGTGGTTTTGACACACCATAAACGCATTTTTGTAAACACAAAGTACATTCATACAAAGTATGTACCACTTCTCTATTTATTTGTTTTTCTTTGTAGCAGAGCAAATACATGGTTCTCCTGTAAGCCTAAAAGCGGTATCTTTCTTCCTCGCTATATAATTCTTGATCTGAGTAGCAGGGAGTCTTATGAACCATTTTGAGCCAATGTTAATTTTATAAAATGCATTCCCTTTTCCACAATTCCCATGAAAAAGGTATTCAGCTAGATGAACACTCTTGGAAAATTTTAATAGGACCCTTGAAATCTGAATTCAGCTTGTTTAAAAAAAATCTCTTTCTAATGGAAGCTGTGAAAGTAACAGAGATTCTTATGCCTTAGAGCCAATTTTTCTTCCATACATAATGGTGAAACTCCACTGTTATAATATATGGGTGTTTTAAATATTCTCTTTGTTAAATTGAAGCTCCTGCTTAGAAGTATGCGAGTTGGGCTCTTTTTGTTTGTTTTGTGTGACTTTTATTATTATTCTTGATCAGTATTCATATGATTTTCATAGCACTTTCTGTATTTTTTTTCCAGTCTTTTCCTGGCCCAAGTCTTGAAAGTGAAGATTTTAACATACCTCCTATAACTCCTCCGTCATTGCCTGACCACTCCCTGGTGCACTTGAATGAGATAGAGTCTGGGTACCACTCTCTGTGTCATCCCATGAACCACAACGGCCTCCTTCCATTCCACCCACAAAACATGGATCTACCAGAAATTACAGTTTCCAACATGCTTGGCCAAGACGGGGCACTCCTTTCCAATTCCCTCTCTGTGGTAAGCATTTTTAGTCTTTCCCTTCTGTACTACCTTACATTGTGAAACTGGGGAAATACAGGCCTGCTTGAAATCCTCCAAGGGGCCAGCTCCTGCACCACTCAAGTCATCGAGCAAGCTGGCCTGACTCTGGGTTTTACATCACCCTCCCTGTGTCAAATCCTCCCCCCACTGGAGGTGGTGGGGGTTTTACAGCTGAATTCCTCAAAGCCAGGATGTTAACCCACTGCCTTCAGTAGAATTACTCCTGCTTTACACAGATGTAAATAATGACAAAAGGAGGCTCAAGGCTTTGACTTCCGCTGCAGCAGGGTTTGCATCCAGATGGCCGTTGTTCTGTGTTTGTCTGACGAGGCTTTTTCCATTCTCATTTGCATGTGCTGAGAGATGTACAAAAATTTAATATCTCCTTTCTTGTTTACCACACGTTTGGAAAACAGCAAATGTTATTTCTGATTCTAGGCCAAATCTTATAGCCTTTTTACAGTTCCCAGTCCACAGCGAGCCAGAATCCAATTGAAATGACTGGACAATTTGCTTATAAAGTCTGTCAGATAGTCATTATGGCCATAATCTTGGGAAGCCTGATATTATAAATCACTTCTTTGAATGTTAAATTGGTTGCAACAACTGCAGAGCTACTTTACATGTTACATTTTCAAGTGGGCTCTACAAATAATTAGTATACTTCTTGCATAGCAGCTCTGGACGAGACCATTTTATGGAAGAGGGCATTATTTCAAGTCAGTATACAATTCTAAGTCAAAAAGTTAAAATTCCCTTGAAAGAGGGGAATGCCCCTGGTGTTGTGTGGGGCTCACTGGACTGCAGGCACTCTGCTAGATGGGCTGCCCAAGAACTGCAGATCTGGACAACCAACGTTTAAGGATCTGCCGTTCCTAGAGATCCAAGGGTCTGGGCTTCTCACTGGAGGGTTAGAGGCTTAGGGCACCATGTCCCAGCTGGGAGGCTCTGTGCTTAGGGACTGAGGCTGTTTAGGCTTCCAGCTTGTAGCTCCCCATCACATTACCAAAAAAAAAAAAAAAAAAATCAGTCCTGGGAGCCTGGGAGCTGAGGCAGCATATGGGGGTTTGTGGGCTGAGGGATCTAGGCTCAGCACCCCATCAGCTCCTCAGCCTAACAGCCCCAGAGCCAGGGGCTCGGGGGCTGTGGTTGCTGGAAAACAGTTTACAACAGAAATCTGCCTTGTCACAGGGCTTCATTGCAACTTAATTGAAATAAAGCTGCCTTGATTTTGGGGAGCTCTGTTGTCCTTCTGAGGATTTCCAACATGTTGTGCTGCAGGTGGGCTAGTCTTGGCTTCTTATGTGCTGCTTAGTTGTTATTGATTTACTAGGATGCTACACGCTTTGTGTTTGAGGTCTGAATCTGACCACAGGGTTATGTTCAATAATGGAAGGAGAGGGGGAGAGGCAGATTTTCATAGAGAAATATAAATATACTTCATGGAAATGTTTTGAATTTTGCTTGCATTTCTATAAAGCTGATGGCATGCATTAAAGAGCACGAGCTAAATCTTGTATGGGGTTCTGAGAATCAGAGCTATGAAAGGACTTGAAAAAGTAAGAGAAACGCTTGGCACTCTAGTCAAGACAAGCAGTATTTCATTGAATTGACCTCTTGAGCCATGGCTATGGCTCAAAACTATGCAGTTTTTTAAGCTCTGATGTTCCAGATTAACCTCTTGCAACAAGCTCTGAACAAAGGGCCTTGAGAATTTGTAGATCATCACAGTGAATTATTGCATTGAGGGCAAATACAAAAAAGCTGAATAATATAACTAGGCAATTTTGCTATTAGGACTTAGTGTGGACCAGAAAAAATGAAAATCAGACCTCAAGAAAATGTGCGCTAAATTTTATCAGTAATTTCTGAGGATTCGTTCAATAAATAAAGCATGATCCTTGAAGCATCATGGATTAAGTTAACTGTTCTCCCTAACTTGCATGCCCTTTGCAGACAAGAGGGCCTCTTAACTGGCAATAGTTTTAACTCTGATTGGCTTGTCTGTTAAGGGGATTAAGCTACATCTCATGTTAGTACAACTGGTAAAATGTTAACACCACAATTTTTTACGGTTCAAACACTGTTTGGCAATATAGTTCCTCTGATCTGAATTTGATAACTTGAGAGGAATTAACCTGAGGGAGATAATTTGAGTTAATTCTTCAGTGAATTCAGTGGCTTCTTCAGTGAATAGAATGGCCCCATTGTCCTTTTGGCTTTCCATTGATGAAGAAAGACAGAGGATTTTGTAGAGTTAGCATTCTTTACTTTGCTTTGAAGTTCTTCTTTATAATCAAGAACCTTTTACATTTTTTCTTCAATATGACTCTTTCCTCTTTATATTACTCATCTCTAAGTTTCCTTTTTACTATCTCATCAACCTCTGATCCATTTAACAAGTACTTGCCTAAATCACTTTTATATTGCCTCACATAGAAAATAATGTATAAATTTCTCCAATCTATCTAAACCTTTGGTGCTATAAAATTTCTGGTATATCAACTACCACTTAGTGTATTTGGAAACCATGTATCTTGCTTCATTTTTCAGGGCACTAATGAGTATTTTTAGAAAAAATATTCTTAGAAATGAATCTGTTGGCTGTTCCCTATCCCTAATTAATTTCACATCTTCAGCAAATTTAACTTATATTGGGACAAATTCAGCTGTAGTGCAATGTGCCTCTGATTGAATTTGGTCTTTCTTTTTTTTTTTTTTTTTACTTTCAACATCCTTCCTTTAGTCAGTTTTTAACCCATGTTGGTATTTTAGCAATAATACCTTCCTTTTTGTCTGTGTTAGAACAGACAAGAGTGGTTTTCAATTGGTGTTTTTATAGAGAAAGCCTTAATTAATGCTGGCCAAACAAGAGAATGGAAATACAGTGAGCTCAGAAACAAAGTGGGAACATAGTTTGTTCACAGACTGTAGCATTTTTCTTTCATCTCAGCTACCAGGTGTTTTCAGATGAGGATTTCCATGATGTTGGACAGATTGAAAACTGAGGATGCACCCCTCTTAAAAATCCTTCAAAATTCCCCCCACGAGAAGTCCTGGTTTCATACTGTGCATCACTCCCTCCACGCTGCAGATGAAATCCCTTTGAGTAGGGATTGCAAGATTTGCCCCAGGCTCTGTAAGAATTCTCCTCTGTGGAAGTGCTTAAACACACACAATAAGAGCCCACTACCAGCTCAGTGAATTCTTATTAGGGATCAGCTTCTTACAGATTTTTTACACTGTGGGAATTGTTTCTGAAAAATTTTACAATGCTGGGAGATTAAAATTTCCCGTTGCCATTTACTGTGTCTGATACTTAAATTTGGAATTAGTTGTCTTTGAAGTATTTTTGATTGATTGGATTTCCTATTGCACCCCCACTACTTAAAAAAAAAAAAAAAAAAGAAAATCACTAAAATTTCTTTTTCTCATTATTCTGCTGTCAGTTCATATATTGGCTTCTATGTTTGTGTGTTTCTGTTTTCTGCTTAGGTGACATACAGGCATACACACACATCCACACGAACACTAATTTATACCGTGCTGTCACATATAGATTTCTTTAGATGCTCATGATATCTGGATATTGAGGATTCAGAAGCCTACAGAATTTGTGTGGAATGTGACACACGGTGGTGTGAACGCACGGTCCAGCCCCAGCATGGTCGGCTACATGTGGGAGCTCTGTAAAGTCCTCCTTCAAATAGACATGACTTCTATTCCTGCTTCTTAAGTGGATCTAATTAGGTATAGATAGAGCTGTTTAATGAAGATGTACGGATGGTTCTCTAGGCATGTTTGTTTCTATATAATGGAATAGAGATCCCTTCCTGATTTACTACAGTTGAAGGTAGCCCCATGTAGGTTTGGTTCAGGTTCAGTTGGGGCTTGACCTGCCAGCACTTCTCTGTTTGCATGAATTTTCCTGAAATATTCCAAGGACTGCAAGAAATACCCTTCTGACATTTGCAAGCAAATGCATGTATATACCATCACTATGAGAATGTGTGTTTATCTGTAAAAATGCTTTTGGATGTGTTCTATAACATGCGTTTTACTGTGTGTTCATTTTATCAACAAAACTATAGACATTTCAGCTTCTTTAGTATATCCTGTAGATGATTGCTTTTTTCCCCAAGAAACCAGGGTTAAAAATCACAATGCTGTTTTTCCATAGAGGAAAAAAACCCTATTTTTGGAATGCTTTCGCTTATAATCTTGTGCTGATCTTTTTGAAAATGCGGCTTATGATGGTATACTATAGCAAATTTACAAGAAAGAAATAAAAGAGATTTTAGTTTCTTGAAATACTTCAAATTTCTGGGTTTGAAGTTTAAAGTGGAAAAGATGTTAAAAGGCAATAAAATCAGGGGATTTATTTCCCAAATGCTCTACTTGTGCTGGCAACAAAAGCCAGCATAATGTATATACTTAGGTTTATTGTCATTTTTAGTATACAGTCAAGGCACACTTAGAATTCAAAGGCTACTGTACAACTGTTTTGACAACCACCACATCAGTAGGTAATGTGCAGGACATATGAAACTGAAGCAAAAATGTTTCTTTAGGTCTATAGGGAGTAGAGTACATCAATGAATTCAGATATATTAGAGCAGCATGAATTTCTAATATGTTGCTCTTATGGAAAAGACCACTGGCATATTGAATAATGCTGCTTTCAAAGCAGAGCAGAAAATGTGATTACAGACAATTTCATTGCTGTTTTTAAAATAAATATTTTCAAAATCTCGAGGTATTTTATTTCATGTAATGCATAAAATATGTAACAGTGGACTAGAGCTAAAGATCTTCTAGGACACCAAAGAGTAGATGATGTCAGCTATAATTATTCAGATGGGGAATAATAGAAGCATTAGTTTAAAATAAAATGCATGTCACAAAGGCCCATGTCCTTATATTAAAAAAAAAAGCAATAAAAAGTGCTTTTTTTTTGCACACTTTGACAGAAGAAT